TCTTGTTGCTGTTTCATCTGAGCAATCTTTGGAAACTTCTGATGATTGGAATATGCATTTCTTTGGGAAGTGAATTCATTGAATTCACCACTGAGCTGGTGGTCTACTTGTAAATTGTATCTGGTTAGGATTGTCATTTATTCCTATGTAATTATAAAGTAAGGTTTAATTTACGGAAGCAACGCGATTTATTTTTTAGTTTTGAAAGTATTGTGGTGACTGATGTTACCTTGAATATGTCTAAAATTGAACTCGGTAATTCAAGTCGTGCTGTCCTAGATCGAGAGCCCACTTTGCTTCAGTTACCCATAGAGCTCGAGTCCAAACCCCAAGCTCCCTACATCTATCTCACAAGGAGGGCCACATAGAAGACAACTGACGTCCACCAAACACCACCTCAATAGTAATAGTCGCTTATCCAGACATAAGAATCATAACTGCCCCAACACTCTCTACAACTGTTGCGGGATAGAAGAAGCAACAGTTACAAAAAGGAACAAGAATCGTGCCAAGGATCAAGTGAAGCTTGGGGCCAACTATAAATAAGGGGTATAACCCCCAGTAATGCAACAAGCAATTGTAACCTAACTCAATATTTTGTGTAAATCCCCCTCTATCAATATATTCTCCCATAGCAAGAGACTCCATTGAGAGTAGATTAACTGAGCTCTCGAGGTAGTGAACCACTATAAACCTTTTGTGTGTTAATCCCATTCTCCTGGTTCAATTCTCGAGAGCCTAAAAGCTTAGACTAAATCACTCGGTGCTCACTAATTCCCCACTTTTGCTTCATCGTGCTAGACTCATTATCAGTGACAAATTGCTTCAGGATTAGTAATTATGGCTAAAAAATGAGAGGGACCTACTGATCATCCCTCTCATTTTTTCCTGACCCAAAAAAAAAAAAAAACTTCATTGAATTCTGAATTTACATCCTCAGCTTGTTTTTGAATCACAATATCATTACGATATGAAGAATAGTATCGTTCTAATATGTTGTGTATGTGATAAGGCGTCTTGTTCATTGAATATGAATGGATTCTAGTCCCTGTTGGGTATTTTGTTTAGGTTGTGTGGATGATAGGAATGAATGGATTTTGATTTTTTTTTTTGGGTGTGTTTCTGCATTTGATATCAGAAGTTTGTTATCGGTACATATCAGTGTAGCTCATTGCTTTATAAAAAAAATGCAGTTTTTGGCCAGGTTAGTTGTCTTTTCCTTACTTAAACTAAGGATCATGAAAATGGTTTATTATATTCCAAGAGCTTGTGATTCAAAATAAAAAGTACCTCTNGCATTTGATATCAGAAGTTTGTTATCGGTACATATCAGTGTAGCTCATTGCTTTATAAAAAAAAATGCAGTTTTTGGCCAGGTTAGTTGTCTTTACCTTACTTAAACTAAGGATCATGAAAATGGTTTATTATATTCCAAGAGCTTGTGATTCAAAATAAAAAGTACCTATTGATGTTGATGATCAAGATTAGCAAATCTAAGAATCCAATAGTTTAGCTGCCACCTTTCTTAAATGGGTTCGAGTTTGTTGATGGATCATTGTCACCAACCACGACATATAGTTCACATTAGAAAAAGGGTAATTTATCATTTATACCCTTAAAGTATGCACTCAATTTTTATTTGGTCCCTAAAGTTCTAATTGCAACAATTAGATTCTTCAACTTTTAACCTAGTTTCAATTCATTCATTCTACCCCGATCTATTAAATTATTCCGATAGAAAGACAGAATANTTCTTCAACTTTTAACCTAGTTTCAATTCATTCATTCTACCCCGATCTATTAAATTGTACCAATAGAAAGACAGAACAGAACTTATCCACAAGGGTGGCTTTGTCCTACAAAAAATATCTCTCCCAGACACATTGGTATTTCTCCCCGCGTCTCATAATATCTCTCAAATTTTTATTTTGTATCCTTTTTTTCGGGTTCGTTATCTTCTTTTTCTTAAAATTTAATGAAATAAAATAAGTTTTTCTAATCTATACATAAAAAATATGCACCAAACAAATATATCTCTTTACCCAAGTGACGGGTTTGTTACGAAAGGTTATTCTGTCAAAATAAATTAGTGATTTTGAATGTAAGGACTAAATTAAAAGAATTAAAATTTAAAGGACTTGATTGTTGAAATCGGAACTTTAAAGACTAAATAGGAATTAAGTGTATAGTTTAATGGTGTAAATTGTAATTTGCCCTTTAGAAAAACAGCTTCCCCACTAAGGTTAGCAAACAGTTTTTTGTCAAACATGCTTCCATTTTTAGCCTTTTTTGCCCTTTTTTGTAAAGGTCCTGCATATCAGTAATATATACTCTTCTTCCTCGATCTTGCAGATGAATTGGTATCTTTTACTAAGGAAAAGCAGGGTTATCATCATGTCCTTAAAAGAATGGTGCAGTTTCATCGCACCCTTTACCAACTTTTTTGGATTTCTAACGAGATACAACTCCTTTGTTTTTTTGCATTCTCCGACTATTCTTTTAAATTTTGAGTCGATCACTGTAATTTAAATTACTTTAAAAAAAACATAAGATNCTAAGGAAAAGCAGGGTTATCATCATGTCCTTAAAAGAATGGTGCAGTTTCATCGCCACCCTTTACCAACTTTTTTGGATTTCTAGCGAGATACATCTACTTTGTTTCTTTGTATTCCCCGACTATTCTTTTGAATTTTGAGTCGATCACCGTAATTTAAATTACTTTAAAAAAACATAAGGTCCCCACCTTTCTTTTTGTTTGATTAATTGTCACATTTTTAGGTAAAAATAACCACTAATTTCATTTATACATGCCATCAATTAAAGTCGAATTCAGTATATATGCATAAATTTGTCATTTTTATACATGATAAGTGATCCAGTATCGAGAGAGATTGAAAGAAATCTGTTCACCTTTTCGGTAGTACAAAGATCCACTCAGGCATACTTAGAAGAAGGCAGAATTTGCAGAAAAAGAAAAAGAAAAAAACCTGAAAAAGAAAGTAGCACAATGATTCAATCTTCTGCCATTATCTCTCCATGGCGAACCTCAATGGGTGTGGCCCAGGAGTAATAATTAAGATAAGCCAGAGTGAAGAGGGTCCCCCATTACCTTTGATCAGCCGATTCTTGATTTTCTTTTCTTCTTTCTTCAATGCAGTAATGATGTGATCTTTACTTACCCTGAAAAAAGGGAAAAAAAAAATGATGCGGTCTGGATAATACAAGGAATACGTGGTTGTTGAAGTTAAGGCACTCAAGCTAAAGTAACGATACGGATACGATACGATACAGATACGGGTGATGCATATTCGATACGTATCATCGAGTATCCGACAAGTATCGTATCCGATATGATATCGGATACGGGTACGTCGACTTTAACGAAGTATCCGTACTTCATAGGACTCAAGTGTTTAATTTCTCCTCCCATTCCCCCCCAAAAAAAAGAAAAAAAAATATATTATTCATGCATGCAGACTTCAACCAAGGCTGGAATGAAGCTGCCCTCTCAATTTGTTGAAACTGCAACTAAATGAGATTATTTGGGATCGATTTTAACGTTTGTGTCACAATTATATATATTTTAAGAGCGATGCCAATCTTTATTTTTTTTTTCACAACTTGACCTCAGCTTAGTTTTAAATTGTCTCAAAAAATTATAACATGATGCAGAAAGTTGGTAACTTTTTTAGTACAATGTGTCATTCGATACCGTAATTTTATCCTATAATTCACATCATTTTTTTTTAATACCTTTTCTTTGTTTTGAAAGTCTGAGAAAATGACAAAATGTTTGTTATGAGACTGATTGAAGCCTCAGTTGAGTGAATCAACATCCTTGGACTTAATTATTGGTCAATACAATAATCTAGAAGAGCTACGCATGGTGCTTGAACAGGCACCAGATTGTGACATTTGTTTGGGATAAAATATCAAAATCGGCAGATCTTACTGCCTCAATAAATTTTTGTCATTAATTTTTTATTGAATGATTTACAATCATTAATTGAAAAAATAATACAAAATTATAATGCATTTTTATTGGCTAGAAAGTGAGAGTTCGGTACCAAGAAGAAGATTAGATCATGAACCATCTTATGCAGCATTGACATTAACAGATAAATGACTTGAGAATAGTTTGAATATCAACTACTGGACAGAGAGAACCTATCCATATCAGGGTCCTTTGATCACTTTCAAACCCTGTTTTGGCTTTGAACTAAATGATATGATAAACGCCATCTTTGACCCTGCATTCAAATGCAAGCTACAGGTCTCTCTCTCTCTCTCCCCACATATATATACACATCCAAATATGTATTGCTGAAAGAAAGCATAGAAAATTCCGTCCTAAAAAAGGAACATAGTATTGATTCTGACTTCTCTGCACTTGGTACCCATAACATTCAATACAATGGATTGGCACATCTCCTCTCTGTAATGCATCTCTTTATCAAAGAGTTCCCCACAAAATTATAAAGCAATTTTCTTTCCCGGGATAAATGCGAAATTTCTATCTTGATCCATGAATCTCCCCAAAACTAACTAACATGGGAAAGTGGAATTGCCATATCAGTTTAATCCAACCTGTATTATCATCAATGTGAAATGCATCAACCAGGAAAAAAAACGAAGAATTCAAAGTGCCACGGACTTGTGTAATAGCATGAAGAAAGCAAAGCAGTTGAATATTACAGTGAAATTGTGAAGGTGGGGAAGTTTGAGCCAGTTTATATCTGCTTTGAGTTCATCATGACTACCTGAGATGATACAAATATCTAAAGCCAACTCTACAAGATCCCCAGAAGGTGAAAACAAAAAAATTCAAGCAATTAAAAACATAATGAACAAATTCATCTGCTTGCAGCAGAGTGTATCTGGAATAGCAAAAGAATCCTCCCCTAAAGAAGCAACTTTTCACGGTGGCTCCAATATGGATATGCCAAACGAAAATTCATCCATCTTTAATTGGAGGTAAAATAGCACACCTGTTTTTTGGCTTACTCCTCTTCGCCTTCAGCAACAGTTGGAAGTTCACCATCTTTGATAAAGGTTGGGTTAAGAAACTTCGCCACAAAAGCCCAGAGGTTATAAACATCCTCAAAGTTTGTCAGAAAGCTTAGAGAAGCAGTGACGACCTCAACTCTAATGAATCCACTTTTCCCATCATGTCGGCCATTCTCCATTGGTCTGCATAAGGTAGTATCGTCAAGATTCATACCAAGTTGCTGCTTCGGGCTTTCTAGTATCCGTATATGACTAAGGATACCAACACCAAGGGAGATACCATTTGCCTCAGCCAGCTTCTGAACAACTTCTGGATTGACGAGACCCCTGTTTCTGTCTCTCACATTAAATGCCACGGCTGCACCCCTTTCATACTTTATTTTTGGGCCATAGATGTGAACCAGCGGGACAGAGTCACCTCCATTTGAACTAGGTAATCTTAGTTGGAGTAACGATGTCACAAGCCAATTGATCAAGAACCGCAGCCTGGATGTGGTCTTGTTGAGACCTAACATGTTTACATGATCTAGATGCTGGCAAGTTATCTCAGGTTCCCTCCTGTCCGAGTCTTGCCCATCAGCATAATCCCCATCACTGAAGTACTCTTCGTCATCCAGGCTTGTTGCAGATAATTCTCCAGGCTCCAGAGTATGGCTCGGCCCGGCCTTCCGGGTATCTTCCATGCTAAAGGATACCCTTCTCCCTCTGCTTCCTGGCTGTTCAGTCTCTTCTATACCAAAAAATCTGCCACCAGAAAATCTATTTCCTTCCCTCCTTCCCAACAACCTGAACTCACCTTCTGTCTCTCTTCGTATAGCACTCTCTTTTGCCTCAGCGCAAATTTCAGAGGTTGAGCCATTCTCAGGCCTACAATGCTGAGAGACAGAAGATGGGTTGTTGAGACAGGATCCCTTGCTAACACGTTTGCTGGCTTCAGGCTCTTCTTCAATTTCCTGGACATACTGACGATCAGAATGCTTTCCAAATTCTCGTGAATCAGTGTTCGTTTCTTCAAAGGGTTCCTCCTCAGGGATCTCATTACCACGGTCCAACTCATGAGATACCGATAAAACAGCAGCATCAAATGATAGCATCTGTCGGTCCTCGTAAGTTCCTAGATTTACCTCTTTGTCATAGATTGGGCTGTTAGAAACCTTTGAGGATGGTTTTGGAGAAAGCAGCTTCTTGTTCTTCCTGCCAGTAAACCAAAAAGGTGGCAACGGAGAGGCCACCTTCTGTTTATTCAACTGGCCCGTATGGTCAGATCCTAATGGACTCTGACCCAAATCAATCCATAATGAGTTCTCTGATGACTCATCTTCACTGAAAACTGGACTCTTCATCACCTCCCCTACTGAGATACTCTCAGTTTCTTCAAATATAGTGCTTGCCCCATCTCTGTCAGAGCTGTTGTCATGATCCATCTCAGTGTCAAATACATCTCTCACCTGAGCAGAAGTGAATGCACCAGAAAAGGCAGGCAACTGAGATGCTGGGTGAGTTTCAGAGGTTACTTCACCACTCGCACCAGCTTCATCATCTTCAATTCCAGCCAATCCAGGTAAACCATCAATGGAATCACCAAGGTACAGAGGAAAGATGGGGGTGATTTTCACTATCCCAGACCCAGCTTGTCCAGTCTGATTTTGAAGGCTTGTCATCACAGATTTCTTAATGAGAAGGCATCCAAATCCAGTTGGATCATACCCAAACACCCTGTAAAAAGAGGTGATAATGAAATCTGGCCGGAATAAAGACAATCCAAGAGAATCCATGTCTTTTGGACCCAAAGACCCAGCATCAAGCAAGACATGCCAATTGTTCTGCTGAGCCAGTGCCATCCACTGGTAAGAATACTTGGCACCAGTAACTCTAGACTGCACAGGGAACACAAAAAGACCAACCGCTGAATCCTTCTTCCTTCTCTTTCTGCTCGAAATTTGCTTTCGCAAGTCAGTTGAACAGAGCTTGAGGGTTGGCCACTTAAACCATGCACTATAAACTTTAGCACCTTTATCTTTGGCACTTTGAGCCATCCAATTCACCGACTGGCTCTCATGATCAAACATGGTTAACAACTTCTTATTAGTATGAAAAGGGTATGATTCAGCTAGCAATTTAAAAGCCGATCCTCGACTCACAGTAAATACAAGGCCATACTCATTCTCAGGAATGTTCAAATAATCCATTATCCTAGTCTTTATATCATGTTCCACAGTGCCTTTCTCAGCACCTCCATAAAGAGCATGATTGCCCAAATTTGCAGTTATCTCAGACAAACTAAATGTAGAAGACTCCCAATAATGAACAGTTTGAAGGAATGAGAACAACCCAAATCCACAATAGTCAAGACATACCTTGGGCCCGGACCCAGATAAGTGTGCATAATCATCAGACCTCAGCTGATCAATTTTCTCAGAAGATTGGTACTTGGGGTACATAGTAAGGAACTTCGTAAAGGCTTCATGAAGGTCTGGAATTGAGTCTTCAGATTCAAATGTGCGCTCTGCAGCAAGAGCTGTGGCTCGGAGGAATTCCTTTTGGGCATGAAGCCTTGCAAGTGACCGCGACCGCCCCAATCCATCGTCTTGATTGGCTATGGACTCAGAGTCCATGTCTTGGGATTTAACAAGTGAACCATCTTCAGAGGCTTCCTCAAGAGCTTCCCTGAGCTTGTGCTCTTGCAACTTTCTGAGAACTGATGGGTTTTTCTTGATTTCTTCTGCTGAGTGATTAGACCCATCTTTTCTTCTGCTCTTTTTGTCCAATATCAGAGCAGCACAGTGAGATATTGGCTTCCATAGTGAAAGATGCATGAAAGCTTCTTTGTCTGATCAATCAGAGAGAAAACCCAGAAAGAAAAACTGAACCAAGCTTCACCAGAACAAAAGGGTTTTCTAACCCATCCAACACCAAAATCCCCAAAAAAGCAGGTTCAGTTTCAAACCCTAATTTCCAAAAAAAGTAAAAGGAATCGACCTTAAAGAGCTTTCTCTGTTTCTCAGAATCAAACCTTGGGTTTCAAAAATCAAAACTCTAGCTTAAGGAGGGAAAAAAGCCCAAAGCTCTTTCCTTAATTCAAACACGAAAACAAGAATTTGGGTTGAAAGAACTCAATCTCAGTTGATCTTCAAGCAGATCAGAGAAACCCTAAGATGGGCCACCTTGAAAATTCAGAAAGAATTTAATTCGGACAAAGACAACAAAGTCGAAACCCAGAAATGAAATGAAAGCGGATGAAACCCACCTACAGATTTTGAGATTCAATTTATGAAATACAGTGAAATCAGTGGTCCTTTTTCAGCATTTCATGTATATGAGAGAGAATCGATGAGAGAAGAAACGTATAGCTGAAAACATCGAGAAATTGAAGACCCAAGATTTACAAGGACTAAGAAAACAAAAATCTCATCCAAACATTAGCTACAATTGGAAGAAATTTTGTATATAGTGGAGAATGAAAACCCCCAAACCCAGATCAACCCCAGAAAATGGCAAAGAAGAGATACCACAAAAGACACCCAGATCGAATGTAGCAGAGGAATAGTTCCGCACAACACAACAAAGGCAGAGAACAAAAAAAACCCCTTAGCATCAAAGACTCGCCTTGAAACACCTGAAAGAGCTCCTCTCTCTCTCTCTCTCTCTCTCTCTCTCTCTCTCTCTCTCTCTCTAACTTTTCTGCAAACCAATTAAAAGCAACTCAACACATCAAATGCTCATTTACTTCTCCCTGTTTGTGAATCCAAAAAATAGAACATACCCATATTTTGATATTGATTATCCCCACTCTGCTCTATACTCTCTCTCTCTCTATAAGGTGATTGACTCCATTTGGCTATCTCCACAAACCCCACTACCTTCCCTGAACAAACAGTGAGAAACGACTTTGACTTCTCTCACTAATTACTGCTTTTTTGTCATTTGCTAGCTCGAAATTTTAATCCCCCATTAATATAAGTAAACTCTGGTTCAACTTGGTGGGACCCACCAACCAGTGCCCTTTCGTCCCACCTTGCTCTCAAAGTCAAATAAATCACTTGGCTTGTAAGTTTTAAAAGCAGTTTTCTGTCCACCTCCATAGGACAAAGTCATATTGCCCAAAATTCCTAATTACATTCTTTTCTCATTGGAGAATTTCAATTGGATTAGCAAAGGTCAATTAATTTCTATTGAGAATAAGGAAAATATTAAAAAAAGAAGCATTGTGTTTAGATTTGATAAAACCAGACTTCAATGCTTTCATCTCAAGAATATTGATGGAGAGATGTTTTGTTGGTGTGGTAACAAATTTAAGGGTTAATCAAATTTTGTATATCAAAAGATATTTCGATTCTCAATTTATATTTTCAAATATTAAAAATTTTAATTTATACACTTAATGTTATGAATTGATAATAATCTGGATCTCGCTTAGACTATCGTTCAATTTTCTGTCATAAATTGAAGCATATAAGTTACAAGTATTTTAAGCATGAGAATGAGGTATGTCCAACGTTGTGGATATCCGTCTATGATCAATTTGACATCGTTTTATGTATCGAAAATAAGATTTTGTTAATCAAATAGAGGCATGTGCAACTCACATGAAACACCAATAGTCTTTTGAATTTATACGTAAGCCCATGAACAAAATATTTGTAATTCAAGTGTTTTAATTTATAACGAAAAATTAAACGATAATTTAGGCAAGAAAGATCTACATTACTATAAAATTCATAACATTGAGGATATAAAATTATAAATTAAAATTTTTAATATTTAAGGGGATAAATTAAAAATCGAAACATGCAAAGCCCAAATTTAAATAAAAAGTTAAAAGCCACACAAGCAACGCTGACAGTACGATGGCATTATCACACCCAAACAGGCCACGTTTTGATTATTATTATAGTTGGTTGAGCATCGATTCAAAAAGCTTGGATCATTTTGATAATTTCAAGTTTTTGAGCATTATGGATTAATAGTTGTAATCTCATTGAATTAGAACTTATCTCAGTAGATTATAACTTTTTTGTTTTTAATTTGGCAGGAAAATAATAGAGAAGATAATCAAATACGCCACCAATAACAAGTCGAGCATGTAAAATGTCAGATCCGGGGAAAAAAACACAGATACATGGACCAGCTGATGAAATAGCTCTATGGACGATTGAATGGTTGGTTCAGTGGGCTAAGAACTTGAATTTTTTTGCTTAATGTTTATGTTCGAATTTTCATAGTTATGGTAGTTCAATAGTATTAAACCTATTCTTTAACGTTCAGTACACGCGATGAAACTTTAGTTTTGACTTCGACGTAAATGTTGTGGAGTGTTTTGTAGATAATTGTATGGTGCTAAAGGATAACATTATCTTACAAATATATGAAATGACCTATTTACATATTTATTTTAACCAAAAAAAAAAAAAACCTATATGAAAAACACCATCACTGCATGATCACCCAGACATCTCCACTCAAAAAACCTCAAAATAAAATAGTTAAAGAAGATAGAATATCTGTAATCCAGTCAAATGCGACTAAATAAGTTGTCAAATTGATTGGTTGGGATGAAAAATTGAAAGCAAGCTCTTTATTCATAATGAGAATTTTTTTGTTAATTTTGAGAGTAGTTGAAGTAGTAACAAGAACAAGTTATAAACTTGAACGTTCTGAATTCGAATCTTGACAACTTCTTGACATTAGACCATAAGAGATTTATCTTTCATAATACATTAGTTTCCGCGTAGATAATCTATCTTTAATCAAACAGGAGAGAGAAATAGTCGAGATGCGCATAAACTAACTTAAACACTCTTTATTGTTAAAAAAAAAAAAAGAAGAGAGAAATTTTGCATTTAAGTTTATATCTAAACACATCATTACACATTTTTGCATGGGAATCGAGCCCCACCACTTAGTTTTTTTTTTCATGTTTGATCACATAGATATTCACAAAACAAATTATGGACCATATGAATTCATTAATACATGTTAGCACTTGTGTCTGAGGCAGTTTTTTGTGCTTATATTTGGGCTAGAAAAGACTAGGATTAATAATAATTTTTTTACCATGAAAAGAACAAAAATAAGGACAAAGAAATAAATAGAATATTTAGCAAATGACATATCAAGTAGGGTACTCAATTGTGTACCACTTGTTTATTTTAAACATATTAATTATTATCAATTGGTCAACCCTCCATTACTGTTTTAGGGTTCCATTATTTAATTCTTAAAACAATTGTCTTAGATGAAAAAATGACATTGGATACATAACACCTTCGAGATGCCCCAAGATTGATTTCTATTTTACTTCTTCTTTTTTTTTTTTTTTTAATGTTAGTCTTATTATAAAATAAGAGCATGCATATCGATATAAAATAAAAAAAATGATAATGTTCTAGATATATACCACCATTTGCCCAAAAAAAAACAAAAAATCTTGTAATTTTGAGAGTATGCATGAATCATATAAATATTTTTAGTCCAATTTTTATTGTTTTTAAACCTCACGATTAGCAAAAGTGTGCGTGAAAACATGTTTGGAAGACCTTATATTAGAATTATGTTATGTAAATACGTTTTTTTTTTACACTAAAAAACTTATGCTTGAACTATCCTTTCATGAAACGCGCAACATATTAAAAATAAATTATAAACCATTCTAATGAGATAAAATTATTATAATATAGTAGAAAAACTCCATGTGATTACTAAGGTCTAAAAAGAGTCTACCATGTATTCTTGACTCTCATATGTCACTATTTCAAATTTTTTTTTTATAGTTCAATAGTCATGGATGTTTAAACTAGTCTACTATATTTTGACTATTTTGATTTTTTGATTTAATCAAAAACGGGTTATTTATATTGAAATTAAGATGTTATTGTTTCAATTTGTCCAACTTAGAAGAAGATCGAGAAACCTAAGATTAGTGTGCCACATGTGGTGGTCCCACTAGCCCCGCCAATTAAAAAAAAAAATCCTTCAACTAAATCAACTTTTTTAACTAAATGATATATCATATAACCCTTATTAGTGGTGAAATGATTTTTGGTTAATCTCTTCCTGTCCCCCCCCCCCCTCTCTCTCCNGTTCAATCTTTTCTCACACTCCGAAGGACTAGCCACCCTTATCCTTTTAGAAACATACTTTAACTAAGCTCAAACTCCGGTGGTCAATTGCTGAGCTTGAGAGAATAGTTGGTGTAAACCTGAACACCTTGCATAAAAAAAATGTAAAAACCCATTTGTAAAAAACTCTTCTTTTTAATATTTATTGAAAACATGATTTTTTTTTTTGGTCCGGACTGAAAACGTGTTTAGGGAATACTTTTTAATGAAAAAACAAGCTTATATCACTTTTTTATATCTTTGAACGGATTAAAAAAGAGATTAATCGAAGTGTGTTTAAGTTTACTTGGATTCTTAACCGCAAAAAAAAAAAAAGTTTATAATTCAAATAATAAGCCCAAAAAGTGGCTTACAAAACTATGGTTGGAAGACATTGCATTGACTTGATAATTAACTCTCATGACCACTTGTAGTTAAAGTTTGATTAATGGCTAGGGTCTCCGTAATTAGTATCCAATGCACTTTAACTAATCTTTGGTTTTTAGCTTTTGCCCAACTTATTCACAGCACCAATTACTATAACAAAGGGTACAAATTTTTGGACTCTTTACACAAAGCCAGACATATTCAATGCTATAGCTCAAACTTTTTGTCCCTGTTGTCTTGGGCTGCATGAAAATTGTAAAGTCAGATCATTTTTTTGTACCTCCCATACAATCATCCAACGAATCCTAAGTTCCCAAGAAAAAAGATTATGA